ATTCTATTTTGTCACGGAATAAAGCCAAAAGTGCCACAAGTTCGTCGCGTCCATTCATATTCAGTTTACGCGCGTCTATAATGTTCGGCCTGTATGAATGGTCGGTTCCGTGAGAATGAGCCAATTCTGACCGCTACCATATTTACGGTAGCCAAAACGGCGGCGGTCGCGACAAGCAGACAATGGTAGCAAGTTGGCCTTGACGATGGATTTCACTGAACCATTGTGGAGCTAGTGATGGTGGCCTTATCAGTAGTTCTTCCGCCCGACACAGCAACTGGCCGTGATTAGATGGAAGGAATTGAACTGCAAGCGACCAAATGCCCCAAGGAAAATTATGTCTAATGCCTATACGATATGGTCGTGTTGAAGCTTACGGTGATGGTGGTGCCAACAACAACGAGTCTAAGTTACCGTCTTGTACTCTAGCGGTAGTAAGGGTAGTTATATATTGTGAGAGTTGTTAGACAATTGTTAACTGCTGCAGCTATCGGAAAAAAGCTCTCTGTCTGGAGCTTCGATATATATTAAAACTGGGATATTAAATATACGACATCTATGAGCACCATGAGTGCCGATTCTGTAGAAGGAAAGAAAAAGGTGATGCCGACTACGTTACTGATCCTGTCGCTCTATATACACACGTGAATATAACGACCTACACAGAAGCTATCCCTCGAGCTCTTTGCGACACAGGCGTCGAGGCCATATGTCGTTTTTGTTATATTAGGCCAACGACCACGCCTTCATCACATTAATTTTACTTCAGGGCGAAAAGGCCACCAGTTCTAGGCCTTGATGGCTCTACTTCTCGAAAAGCGTTACGGCTACCAAGCCTGCAGTACATTCTACTATGTAGGTGTTTTCGGCTAGTTAGCCAACGACAAAAAAAACTAGATAGATTAGGCGTACTAACATGAGTTGCAAAGTCTCAGCGTACTCTACCGAGTTCAACAAGGTCAAATCTTGAAGAAACACGCTGTTTGGTGAATAAGGGAACTCAGGTTGAGCGCTTTGACATAGTTGGCGGTTACCTAGATAGCATATACCGCAAGGGCTGTTCGGCCCGTTATCGATTTTAACCGTAGCTAAATGTTATTGTATATTAACTTACACACTTTTATGTAATGGACAGCGAACAGATAATCACAACTTACTTTGACCATTGATTTCTCAGCCCTTCATGCATCTGACAAAGCTAATAGCCATTCACAGGGCTTATGGCCCGTATGGCTGAATTTTCGGCTGGCAGTTAGGGAAATAATCCTACTACACTGTTGATAAGAGGTTGTCCGGAAACGCGTAGGACGGCGTACGCAGTGATGGCCAAGAAACACTAACTTAAACGGTCATTCTTTCAACCCGCGTAAGGAAAACAAAGTATCAAAACGATTGCTAAGAGTAGACACAATAATTAATAGAACAACAAAAGGACAATTTGTTAGTTACATGAGCATAGAGTAGTTTATCCTAACTAAGTCCGATGTCACGACTTTATGAGCTCATGAGCGATCAGCGTAGCTAACAGAGAGCGTGTTCCCTATTGTTTTCTTTTTCGTTCACCTATGGAGTCTGGAAGGGCTGTTTCCTTGGAATACGTAACCCTAGGTCTAGGTCTAGGTCCCTTATGGCATCCCATACCAACTCTTTAATGGTCCAAGTCAAACGGACCGTTGCCGGATTGACGCTCACCACTTGCTTGGGCAATGAAGTAGTCTCGATTCACATAGTCTCTGCGCAGTCCAGCGCCTGATGAGCGTCTCGCAGCTTCTCCAGCAAGCTCTGCTAAGCACATCGCTGGTTCTTGTGCCTTATTTACGCAAAGTATGTATGCACGTCGTCATTTAGTGCTGCCTTCTCTGTCTAGAAAGCGTTCCATCAAGTCTCTTTATGGTGAGCGACGTATCTGACATCGGTCAGCAGCTTCATTCCATGACGCCGTCAGCAACAATTACAGAACGAGAAGGGTCGATCAATTTTGTAAACGTTGTGCACGTCTGGTTAGGCACAATTTCTAGAAGAACAGTATTCCCGTGCTGCAGGGACCGTTGTCTTGGGAATTGTTGCTACTGTTGATGCTGCTGCTGCTGCTGCTGCTGCCGCTGCCGCTACTACCAGCGTTGTCAACTAAAGGCTTGGGAACTGCTGTCATCGAGAGGCATTTTTTTGTTTCTTTTGAGGCACGCTTCTCACCTTTGAGTATCTTTTTGCGTTCGCCCGTATTCGAGGGAACGCCTGTTATCTCCACTCGCAGCTGTGCACAGAAGCTGGATATAAGGGACGAAAACTTGTGGCCCTGCGTGAGCCTGCATAATGGTACCTCTCGATATATATATATATATATATATATATGGAGAGAGAGAGAGAGAGAGGGGGTGACGGAAAAGGAAGAGGGCAAGAGGTATCATAATCGGGACTCACTGCGCCTTCGCTGATAACAACACCAAAAACGCGTCTATCGCTTTTTCTGGTCGAGTGGTTGGTGGCTGGAGGAAAAGAAAGGTAGAAGGCGTCTGCATAATTTATTTCGTGTATTTGTGCCCAGCGAGGGAAGGCGAACGAAGTGATATAGCATCAAGAAGGTACACATATACATTGGAAAGGCTAGAAATAACATATCTGAATAATGCGTAAAAAAAACGAATAGCTAATAGCACAAGGTACTGAGAATGATGGTTTAGTCCTACTATTGTTACAAACTAGTTATATCTCTCAATATGATGCGGTACTAGGTATCCTGCCGTAAGCTGATTGGAAAGATATCGCAGGGCGAATAACGGTCTATAGAGAATGGTCGAAAAATGTCAAATCTGAGCAAAAAGCAGATACAACGAACTAGACTACGTAGAAGATCGTTGCGCTCTTAATTTGGCGCCCATAACATTAGATTTTATAGAAGCCACTCATTTTTTCACTGTTTACGACAAGTTTAGCAGACGATATCATTCTAACAAATATACAAAAACATTAGTCAGATGATGTGCCGATTCTCTACTTATTTGTCTAGCTCGTTAGTACTTGTGGGATTTCTTGTTGCAATATGTAACTATTGTATCTGGAGTGGGGATTTGTTGTCACGTGACAGAATTATACGAGTCTCGTTCTTTATATTACTGCCAGACCCGTTAACGGAGCGAGTCCTGCCATTATAGGAATAGCGACCAAAGAATAATATTTTTAATTGTAAGATAAACAACATAAAAATTACGGGTACGCCTAAACAGCTTGTTACGTAACTGCGAGTCGTACTATAATTGCCATAGAACACCTTAAACCCCGAAACAGGCACAGAAAACGATAAATCAAACCGCAAGAAAAATCCCTAATGTTATCGAAATTCTCTGCAGCATAGGAGGATCTGTTTTCTATATAGATAGTTATTTATAAGAAGAAAGTATAGCGGCTGTGGTGAACCTATGCGTCAGCACATATGGCGTTTCCATCCGCGAACCTGTTTTCAAGCGCGTGATTATCGCATGCATTGCTACCATTATTATATTTATGTACAGTGCACCACAAACAATCGATGGATGATGATAAACGCATTTTTCCTTAGGGCCCGACCATTCAGTAACGAAGGTTTCCATAACAGAGCGCATGTCGCTACCGCAGATGATCGCCAATTGCAGCGGTCCACAGCTTGCAGCTTCATATGATTCAAGTTGATTGCACATTATTGCAAAGTCATTGCTTTTTCTACTGCTGCTGCTGCTGCTGCTGCATCTGTGCTCATCGTCTCCGTCGCTATATTGTCTTTCCATCCTGATCGACCTCCTGATTCAATTCCCACGGCAGCTGGTGCGACTGCTTCTCTCGTTTCTTCTGGCACGGCGAGCTGGGTTGTTGGCACGGTAGCAACACCCTCTCATGTTCTCCTGCTCTGAATTTGCTCCTGTTCCGTGTCTGGCAAACTCCGGTCTCCCTGTATTCTCTTGCCCCGGTGCTCCTAAGCCGAGCTACAAAACTCGCCATTGGCGCATTGAGCGAAACGTTTGACAGATCAACTGGTAGGGGACCGCGGAACGTTTGTTGCTGCTGGACGTGGAACAAGCGACCTTTTCTTGGGGTTCACTATGTCGTTAGTTGTTGTTCGAGAGGGCGGGGTCTTCTCGTAGGCAATCATTGCTGTAGCAGTTGGGTCGTGATGTTATGGTCATGTTTCACTGTCGCGGCGCATGTGATGCCCTTGTAGCGTGTGCACCCTCTATCAAGCGTGGGTATCGCTCGTTACGCGTCAGTGCCAGCTACCGTTGTGCGTGCGTCTGCTTTCTTACTCAAGCGAGTGCTTCGTCATTATTGGCTCCATCAGTTCGCCAACGTTAGGAGAATGTCAGTGTGAAAAATATAATCGATCGAGATAATTCCCAGATCCCCTCGAGGTCAGCTAAAAAAATCTAGCGATAGCCTGGGTAAAACTGTCGTACGGCACCTGCCTGACAATCAGTACTTGGAACGACAAAAAGAAGTAGAGCGGTAACCGTTATCGAGTCAGCTTGAAATATAAGATCAACTTTTTTACCGGGGGCAGCGAGTAGCTTCCTTATTAATTTGAAAATGCTATGACGAAACAGTGACTGAAGTGCGATTTAATTTTTCAAAAATTAGGTTTGCCATTGTGTAAAAGCGTCAGTGGCAGAAAAGGCCATTAACCCAGCGGTGGCCTATCAAGGTACAAGCAGTATGTTTGCTCTACTAATTATTTGGATAGAATTACAGTACATAGCTTTCTACATTTAATTCTGCATTATTATAACTATATATAGTTTTTCCCTTTTGATCTCAGCCGGGACGCTTCGAATACGATACTCTGCTCTTGTGGAGTGAACTGAAATCAAGCTCGAATAGATAATAGCAGTATACATGCGATGTCTGTACACTGGCTTCATATGGTGTCACTTCTTTTATCATTCTCTAATGACTGCCATTACTTTTATCACTACTACTCTTCAACTGCTTTTCCTATATCTACAATCTAATGGCGTTGTCGCTGCTAACAAAAGAAGTTCCAGTGGGCGAAGTAGCGGTGGCCTCTGGATTCCTGCTTGGTTGTTCCTCATCGTTCTCATAGGGACCCTGGTCTCGGCCACCCTCCTGTGGTTGCACATCGGCCTCAAGCAGGACTTCACACTGCTCCGAAACCATCTTGCAAAAGGTGAACATTGAATTTTCTGATGAAACCAGCACCAGTACACACCCTTTGATTCAACAAAAAAAAAATCATCGCCATTGTCGTAGATTTTATTGCAGGTCGGTATGATTTTGTTCTCTGCCTTTAAGTGCGATTTTTTCTGTTCGACATTGTTGGCCTTTTCAAATTTGACTTTTGTTCATTACGGTGTCCCTTTCTGCTACGTTGTGGATTTTAGTTTGCCGCAATACTTTGCTTCTCCACATCGAATCTGTGTTTATTTTGCGTTTTCGGAGATTACGAAACGAGCTGCTATTAGTAGTATCTGTATTACAAACATTGTTATTGATTCATTGCCAACGACACCGTTAATCTGTCACGAGTGTGTTGCTATTCATGTTTTGTTTGGGCATTACCTTTTTTCGGGAATAGGCCTTGACATCGATATCAGGTAGTTCGTTCGGTGCTATCAATATATGAGAAACTTCCCGTTCCATTGAAGAATCACTGAGTAGGCAACGATCTGTTAAAGATATGACTTAACTAGTTTTTACTGTGTCTTGACGCGGACACCGCAGACGGCAGTATCCACAATACAAGCAACTAATATTGATAAAGTAATTTTGAACATTCTATTTAAACCCAATCGTTTATAGTTTTAAATAAAGGACTCAGTGTACTGTATAAGAAGCGCTGAAAAATGCTAGGAATCATCAACACAAGCCGGCTACCAGTTCTACCGAAAAAGCGGCCGGAAGCAACAACGATCTTATCTCACAGGCTTGACCTGCTCCGCGTACCAGCTCTTCGTTTTAGCGACCTGGAAGCATTTCAGCTTGCAATGCTCCGTGTGCTATATTCACCTACTCCGCATATATTTTGACGATACTATCGTTTTAAAAGCCGGATATCAAAGGGGTTCTCAAGAGGCTCAATGCTGGATGGGGCATCTGAGACATGGCGCGCTCGGCTAAATTTTGGGCAAGACTTTTGACATCGTTGCAGTAGCATGGCACCTGACTATTTTGTGCCGATAAGTGCCCTTGTTCACGTAGACATATCGGTGGCATGCTGTTCTAAGAATTCGATGAGCAACTTGCGTGGCAAAATAGTTTTCACATCTCGATGTCCGTTACTCGGCGTTTTGCCCTTTTGTTTCCTTTTTCTACCTGAATGCCAACGTTTCATAGTCCGCAGCGTTTCGTGAGCCGTCGTCGCCTTCTTATACGTATGGCTGCGTATAACGCACACGATTCACATGAGCGGCTTCATCCAGAAGCCAATGAAACGAGCAAGTCTTCAAGGACCGCAGGAGGCGAGGGAAGGTGCGCAGATAAAGTGTGAAAGGCGTAGTCAAAGACTGTCTAGAAAGTCGCGTCGTTCTCACGAGTGCACAAGTATCACTACCACTAGTACTATCAAAATGACGACTGGGAGTGAAATCTGTTCCGTTTACTCTACCAGTCCCTAAGGTAGAAATACAGTGAGCTCGTAGACAACTGTAACAGTGTCGTAACAGCAGGCTTGCCTTTAGAGCAGAGCTCTCCGGCCTTCTTCCGGGGTAAAAATCGACAACGAACAATCTACGTAGGCGATACGATGTGGAGAAGGTTTAACCGCAGACTTTACGCAAGGTGGTGCAGACGATACGCTTTGCTTTTTATATTCTTCCACTTTATATCTTTTGCATTATCTCGATCCCTTCTGCTATTTTTATTCGCATCCATCTTGTGCACGATGGCATCGTGACGGAGTGGAATGAGAGGAACCTGTTTGATAGTCACCTGAAGGATTTCAACAATTGACCAGAACTTACGCTTGCCAGTTTACTAACACAATGACACTCATTTTCTTATATTATATAAAGCTTGTAAAGTTTGATTCATTCAACCTCTATAGTAACATAGTGGGAACGCGTTTGCCTAATTATGTAAGGTGCATGGTTTAGTTTCGAAATAGAGTTTAGAGACACTTCGTTTCGCGCTGGTCGATGCAAAAACTAGAGATATGTATTTTTATTCCCGGCCAATATTACTGATGGGATAGTTTTCATTTAATTTGTCGTTTTCGCCTTCGCAGGCTGAAGGTGGACACGTCGTCGGCTTTAATGTATTAGATAGTAATACATCTACACTTATTAACGCCAACAATCCATTAATGCGATTTTTTTTTTAGTTGTTGCAATAAAAATGTATCTTAACGATACCTTAGTACCAAATATATCACAATTGGTAGCTAAGTCTGTGAGTGCATTTAGGCTGCATTTGCAGAAACTCTGTCTGAACATGTTCATAGCCTTTTCCAGACACGATAGACTCTAATGGAGCTTTCTTAGTGAGTAGTGAGCTCACAAGATGTCATTACGATCTTGCGGTATCTTCAGGGACGTCTAGGCGTGTATATACTTGTCAGAATTCCTGTGGTACAAGTTATAAGGGTGATGACGGTGGCGCTGCGAACAGTAACCTTAATAATTAGCAACATAAACGCCACAGGCTAATATGTATGCGTCCGTATATATATATATATGTACATCGGATCCGCAGCCTAGCATCGATACCGTATTACTTATAGTTATTACAGCTTCTACGAACAACGATTACGGGAACAATTCGGTAATTTCAGCCATCATGTTGCGAAACTGCAAAAGGTATATGTAATAATAGCAATAGTATTTCTTGCGCCAACAGCTTCTGACTGCTTTCTTCCACTGAGCTATCGATGGAGGAAACGAGAGTGAAAAAGGACGTGAACAAAAGAAGGCTGGGCTTGAGTGTACGAGAAACGAGCCAACTTGCGGTCATATACTCGGCAGCTTTTGTGCGAAAAGCAGGAAAGCCCAGGTGCAATAGGCTAGAAAAGGGGAGAGCTTAGACTCCACGGAGCCTTTTACGACGACGAAGCTTTCCTGCATGCGCCTATTGCCGAGGGCTGTTTAGCATATGTTTTGTCCCTGTTGTTCTTGAAGCCTGTTAACATAATCATGGATCTGCCGCTATCGCTGCAGTCAGTGACTACTGTGTGTCGGAACTGTCGTGTCCCCTGTTACCATTGCGGCCGCCGCAGTCGTTCCGCTGCTCGCCCCCAGCCTCTAACCACTACCCATTAGTCCCAGCAGCGTTACACACTCGGGGCATCGGTTTGTGGTAGAACATTAGGCGGTGGCTTCAACAGCCCCTTTATAGGGTTCAGCCAGTTAACGACGCGTCTGTTAAGCGTCGTTGCTGTTGGCGTGAAGATTGGTAAAGACGTAGCTTTTCGATTTCAAACTGCTAGAAGGTGTCGACAGGGGCCAAACGGTTGTTGTTGTTCTCTTCTGATCCCCGCCCCTTTTGGTCGACCACTTCTGCGATAAAACGATTGAAATTTCATGCCTCACGCACCTGATAACCGGGACGAACTAGCCTATTTGTCAGTAAAGTAGAATCTGGAATGAGAATAGTTTCTAGTCAACACAAAGGAAATATGCTACAGTAGCAAGCTGACAACTAGGTTTTTGGTGTCTTTCTTTGAAAGGACTCTTTTAAGGAAAAAAAACTTACAGCGTCAAAAAATGCAGTGTGTTCCCGTTACCTTATTCTAATCGGAGGGTGGTAGCTTTTCTAAATACGCCACGTGGTCAAACGAAAAATTTAACAGAAAATAGAAAAGAAAATGTAATTCAAAAATTAAGTCAAATTCACAGAATTTTCTTCGGATCTTTTCCCAAAATCGTAGCGTCTCGACCTAGTCTAAATGGCAAACTAAACAAATATTGTAATGTATAATGGTTCAGATTTCTCTACGAGCGAGTTTTCTTTCATACACCGATAGAAGTAGGGAGAAATAGTCTTTTTTTTTTTTTTTATCACGCCTTCCTGCTGAACAGCGCTTAATGTAAAGCAGGACACGTAGAGGTGGCACACGGTATATCGATTGTGGTAGAAAACACAAAGTTGATTGGCCGGACTGACAGTAACAATTTAGAAAATTGGCAAGGACCGTAGCAGCCGGATGTTTCGACCTTATTTTTTTACTTGCACCTATGGGTCGCTCTATAATATTCGTGATCGTTGTCTGCCAGTGTTGTTCTTCAATCAGCGTTTCTCTGGTTCGCATGTCATATAATTGTTCTCGGTGGTCTCTCGTCACCTGTAACCATACGCAGAAACAATTCGTTGATTAGTTCTACCAGAAGAAAGTTGCGAGAATCTGCCATGTGCCTCATCCGTGGTGAAGTCAGGCCATTTTCCGGACTTCGTTGTATTCGCTCGATTGGCGTAGTTCCTGTAACAGGTCGTTATATACGTAAGCCATAACAAGCGAAAGTGGACCATGCTTTGTCACTGACGCTGGCCAGCTTCAATAACAAATAATAATATATCGTTAACGGACGGCTTACGTATTATTACGCCCGTTTATAGTTTACTCTTCGAATTGATGTAAAAAATGTAAACGACCTCACGCAACGGAAAGCTGATTATTTTCTGGCAAATATTTTGCGTCTGTGTGATCATCCCGAAGTCAATATCGAGCGTAACTGTGAAGGCTATACAGACAGTGGGGTCGTGGAGTGGTGCACTGTCCAATGAAATATAAAATAATGATAGTAATCGGTGTATGCTATGGGCGTAATGGTCGTTAAATTACCGGAAATAGAAACACGCCCATCTGAACGCCGCTGAACTTACGTACGTGTAAACAAGAATCATAAGAGTAGGTTCGTAATAGTGACTAATAGGTGCGCTGAAAGCTTGTCGAAACCTAAAACACTATAGTAATCTGTTTTTTTTTTTATATGAGATTTTCACGTAACTGGTTTTAATGCAATTTTATTGTGTGCAGACAGATGAAAACATTAGCGTTGAAGAATTAGATAAAAATTCGTTATTAAACGTCATCGTAGTAATACGTCACTGTTGGCCGAACATTGCTTGCGAGCTACATTGGATCCTTGCTTTGCTACCCATTAGCGTCTATCCTAGAATATATCGACGACGACGAATCATAGATATCCTTCCCTGAAAAAGCTCATGTAGTATACGCCTCCAGCCGGCTGTGTTTGTGTATGTTTTCAGTGGATGCTGAAGGCAAGCGTGTGTTTGATACGTTTCGGGAGGTCGACCAGCGGTTTGCCCAACTCCAAGCTAATCAATCGCAGATAGCCAAGCGGTTAGAACAGCTTAACTTGAGACTGAATCAGATCGCACGGGACGTCAGTCTGGTGAACGGATCAGCTCAGCAAATTCGCGGAAGTATTGCTGAAGCTGTTAATACCCAACTGCCTGGCCATCTCTCTCGGCTGAACGGATCCGTCCATGAGTTACAATCACAGGTGCTGTAAAAAGATATGCGCTTAGTCACAGCGAAATCAGCGAATTTTGCCTAGGCTATAAACCGTAGGCAAAATAACGGATGGAAAATCCGTTATTTTGCCTACGGTTTTCTAAAGCTGCTTGAGACAGTTTGAAGTGGTGTGACAAAGAAAGATTTTTATATGTGTCCTAGCGTTTTAATACACTGCTTAAATATCTCAACACTAGAACGTAAAAGCTCAGAACGTAAAAAAAAAAGTCGGTACAAGTATATGTAAATTCTCTGGTGGAAAATAAAAAATTCAGAGACGCTAATATTACATTTTACTTTAATTTAAACTGTATCGTTGCAGATAATTGACCTATCAGGAAAGCTAGCCACAGTCCGTATGGAGCTAACAGCGGTTGAAGGTCGATCTCAACATCGCATCAAGGAAGCGATTAATATATTTAATACCTCCATAGAAGCCATTGAAGACGTCATCGCTGGACGGGACGCAACGTCAACATTGAGTCACGAATTTAACGTGACCATAGAGCAGGCCATTGGTCGAGCTCAAAGCGAAAGTGATTCACGGTTTGATGAACGAATGTCCAATAAATTGCAAGAGCTCAAGCAAACATTGGCTTCCCTACCAGCTCCATCGTTGCCTATCCCTCAAGAGTCGCTGCAACTGATGCAAAATAGCGGTGGCCAACAACAATCACAATGCAAGACTCAGAATGACCCGATACCGAACGGAAAAGCTAATAAGGCTCAAAAATCGGAAAGCGTTTCCGGTTCGGCGATGTCCGCAACTACAGCCGAAAGTTTATTGTCTCCAACTAACCGTACAATAGTAATCGCTGATCTTCCTGAAAAGAAACCGTCATCACAAGTTACTGCGGTCCCTGCGGTCGCTTAGAAGCATCACAAAAAAAAAACAAAGACAGCTTCAGTTAAACAAGCGCAGACGCGTTTTTTATCAGTTCACAGGTTATGCATTTTCGTAGAAGTGGAAGTTGAAAACGACAGCAACCCAACCTCGTCGCCTTCAAGTTATCGTTCGCCGTTCCATATGTCATAGTCATCCTCACGCATCCATATAGAGAGGCACGTTGGAACGTTAATGACGTCCTACTTATAGAATATATAAGACACGCGGATATAAGGAAATCGGTGATAGTACAGCGCTAAGATATATGGGCTGGAAGTGTAGTAGTTGTACATTTTGTCACAGGTGCTAAGGGTGTTAGTTGAACTAAAATTGACAGAAAAAAAAGTGACAATTGTGTCATGTCAGTGAGTCACGCAGTAGCGCTCCAAAAGGCTTCATATTAGCAAGGGTTACTGAAAAAAGAAAATCAACGTTATCAATAGAGATGACATTACATGATAGAAAGATGGAGTTGGCAAACAGAAAAAAAACATAGAGACTGATTATTCCATAGAAACAATTGAGCTCACGTGTACATATATATATATATATATATATATATATATATATATATATATGCGTTGAGAGAGGAATCACAAGAGGGAACGTTGTAAGGAAAAGGAAAGACAATAATCGAAGGCTTATATTGTTATTATCAGAAACGAGCTTAAAAACGCAGGGGGTTGGAGAGTACCTTGTTTTTTTAGGGCCTAGTAGGAGTTGCCGTTGTCAAGAGCATTTGTAACGTCGCTAACTAAACGATACTAGAAAAACAATAGCGTTAAAAGACTATCGTATATCATACATATCGAACGGGTCATAGGAACGCCAGTTCAGTTGAAGCCAAAGGAATATGGAAGAAAAAGCTGTAGCTAAATGTAGTTATTGATTGAATATATGAAATTCGCATTCTCCTTCTTACAGCAGGCTGGCCATTGTCGTTCGTTCGTCAGATTTAATGATTCGAAAAGACAAAAATTGTGTTTTTAAGGATTATCACGGCAGCAACAGCAGCAGCAGCAGCAGCAGCAGCGATAACAACAAATGTTCGTCATAGGGAAAGATCAACGAATTCGGACTCGGCTCGTAGGATAACTGGACTGATAGGACCGACAAAGGACATCATTAATAAGAACAACTTGAAAAAAGGGCCGACGTTAATAAAAGAAAATAAGACAAACTAACTCTGCGTTGGAGTTCAGAGTGTTTCTACAAATCATGTTCATAGTCTATGATATTTGTTACGTATACATAAGTATGGTTATATATATATATATACATATATATATATATATATATATATATATATATATTCTGACACATGCACACAAATGCATACACTGTAAAAAACCTACTAAAAAATCATGAAAAATCTCAAGATACGCAACTTATTCTCAGAAGGAAGCGCGTGACTTGTTATCAGGAAGCATCTTACTAAACAACCATTGATAGATCGCTTTCTTTTGACCTAATTGACGCCAACCTATGTGATGTTTGAGAACAATGGAAATAAATCAGTAAAGCTGAGTAAAGTAGCCGATCAAAAAAGTCAGTATAAACGGCCGTAATGGTAACCTATTAAGTTAAATAAATAAATAGGTGCCAATGATTGAGATAGTTCCACTTAGCTTATTTCTGTTTAAAGAGGACAATAACTTTTGTTTGACAAGAATTTTTCGAAACATAAACAGGAACGTTTCGAGAAGCACAATACGGACGCGAAAGGGAGACGTCGGTACTACGCAAAAATCACAAAGCTAACGATTACGCGTAAAAGAAACAGAACCGCTCTAGATAGATGATATGGGGGAAAACCAGAGGACGTCGAGATGACGTTTATTTTATAGCTATTAGTCAACGTTGCTTGGAGTGATTATCGTGCCCTTTACTTTGATAGCCTTCTAGGGATTTTTCCATAATTATATACCTATTATCACCTTGTCTCACCTGTTGTTCCCTTGATTAGTCTGTCAGTTATGTGTGTACGCATGTATTTATAGGAGGCGCGCTGATAGATGTCTATTAGATCGAATCAACACAAGCGAACAACAATGGAAGCTTTATGCCTCTGAGAGGACAACAAAATATTAACCATTTTCTAGCACTGTTATTAGAAACTTTTAGCAAGTTGGCCGAAAGTAACTTAAGTTCGGTCAACTAACAAAATACAGAAAAAGGTCAAAACCTGCCGATTATGCTCTAGACGAAACCTCGAACATTCTGAGAATACGGCATTTTATAAATAGCTAAAATCTGACAGGAAATGACTCTCGACACCTATGCACGAGGCGGTAGAGTCTACTAGCCAGTACGTATTGAAACCAAATGAAGAGCTAATTGTACTCCCACGTATTTATTTATTTACAATATATCGTGGACTGCCGGGCATCTAAACAACAATTGTTACAGAAACTATGTTGACACTGTTTCATGAGAAATTAAGTGGCGCTGTTCTCTACAAAAAGCTGCCGGCTTGACAAGTATTTCCGATTATATCACTACTGCGATAGCTAAAGCCGTCCTGTATGCACAATCTAAATACTACTACTGATAAACAGCACAACCACGTAAAGCATGTCATTAAAAAAGTACTTCGCCAATTTTCATCACGCACATCAAACACTCACAATTGAAGATAGTTGCCCGTGCAACTTATATTATTGGTCCTATTAATGCGACCCAACACGTGATCCCCAACTAGCCGTCACTTGAAAATGGGCCCGTGCTTTCAGCATAATATATTTTTGACTTAAATTAAAATAGTGAAAATAATAGAAGGGACAAATGGACATTTCACGAAATGAAACATTTTATTTAGCGCGGTACCCCATAACTACAGGGCATCAACGTGTTGGGTGCATGAACTTAGCCTACATCCAGTTTCTGCACTGAATAACAGAAACTAGTGTTCTGTTTTTACATAGCAGAATAATAACAATAATAAAATGATAATTGAAGTTTTTGAAGTATTCATACGGCCTATTATAACCCTTTCTGCTGAAAGGAAGCCCCTAAGCGTAAAATAATAATAATAAAAAAAAAAAAAAAAAAAAAAAAAAAACGAGACACTGTTGTATTATGAGCTGTCGGTTTTAGAACCTAGGAAACAGAGTGGAAACATACTATTATTTATATTACTTCGAATGACGCACTGTAAGTACTGTATATAGGTCCATGTTATAAGTCATCCGTAAGCAGCATAAATATTCTTAATAAATTACGTCAATTGTACCAGCGGCGTCGTTTACTCTTAGGTAGCACTGAACTTATAAGGGTAATATATATATTGCAGAAAAAACGAAACCATGAAAGAAGTACGTTTGAATTCTGGTAGGTTGCATTGCCTTCTTTATTATTCATAGGGCTGCATTACACCTATATATAAGGTGAGCATAGCCTTCCAATTGGGAGAAAATAAGCCTACAGTTAGAATAAGGAAAAGTGGGTACTATTTAAAAGGAAAGAAAATAGGTTCACAGCCAGAGTAGTATCTGTTCGGACTATAGGTCTACCTAATTTTGACTAAAAAAAATATTTCTTCATTTTAACTTCGTGCTACCTGCTTCCCAGACGAATCTAACTCTAGGTGCACAATCGCGTCATCTTTACATCAGACTGTACCTACTCTTCAACTGTGGTCCTATTTCTGATCTGCCTTGTAAGTATAAGCAGAGCCCTTGGCGGGGCACATGATACTACAGTTATTTCTCCATCTGGTTGTATATTTCCGATTTCCTCAATTAGCTACGTCCTCGTAGTTTATAGTTTGGTGTCTTCGCAACCGCCTCTTGGCCATCTTATATTAACGGTTCTTCATTATAATAACGCAGTGCAGCTATGGTATTTCACGAGTCTATATATTAAGTATTTGTATTGTGCTTGTCTGTATTGATTTCTCTAGATCAAACTAATCTTGACCTATAACACAGGGATTTATGTTTATTTTTCGGTGGACGACATATTATATATGTTAACTAATCGAAACTAGACGTAGCCTAAACCCTTTTCAAGCAATATTTATTATTTTTAGCTCAATTGTTTTCATTTAAGTTCATTAACATGGTTAACAAATTCTGCATGTGTTTCGCATTATAGTAAAGCAAATTTATTTTTGTCTATATTTTCAGCTATAGCTATATAACAAAATCAATTTTACCTTTATCTTAACCTATTTAACCCGCTAAGCAAATTTTGTACTTTAAACTATTTACTTTCAACTACCGCAAACAATCTATGTTTAACTGTATTTTAAACTATTGTTAAAAAAAAAACTTAATTTTCTCTGCATTTTAAACTATGGGCTCGGGAACTCTTTACAAACTATCACTAGAAAACTTAAGTTTTACTTATATTTTTGAACCAGCACTGAGCTAACATATTTTTCCGTATTTTTTAAACTATTTACTTAAAAACTTGTTAGACTATAGCTAAACAAATTTCTGCCTGTATTCTAAATTGTTAATTTTTTCAGTATTTGGCTTCCAAGAGAATCTGCAGACTATCATTAATATTTTGAGTATAAGAACATACCAAAATAGATTTAAAAGGAAGCCAGCTGCCTTTACGCATTTATAATTAAAGAAAAATCTCTGAGTAACTTGCCATAAAGAAAAATTCAAATTTATTTACCCAAGTCGAAAAAGCATCTATGAAAGTAGAAAAATACTGTTGAAAACGAAAAACGACCGTCCGTGTCGTTTATAAAAAACGTACTTCCGTTAGACCCGGTATACGTGCTTCTACGATGTTGGTTACAGTCGAGGTCCGACAACTTTGTATTATATATAAACCCTCTGCCTTTCATACAGCATCTCTGTGATTGCCCTTTTCGTGAATTTCCTAAAGTATTAATCGTTTGCAGCACGACCACTCTTCCGTTCCTTACTTCAACGATATAGAAGAGAACATCACGCCGCCACAAATACTAGAAGTTTCAGAAACGGTAGCTCGCCCCCGTTGGCAAATTTAGCTTGTGCCTTTCGCCCAATAGCTTCGAAATTCGCAAGGGAGCAAAAATTAGTTGGATAAGTCTGGCTCCTATATGGTCTTGAAGCTTTTGTAAGATCGATGACACCGGTTTGGCCGGATCTGTCCATTTAGCTTGAACTAAATATATGTCGGTGGCAACGTACTAGACGCACAAAAGGCATCGGTCTAATCGCTTTTCTCTACGTCCTTACATAGCTGAAGTATAAAGTAACTTACGCGCCGTAAGTAACACTCTGTCACGGTACCCACATACGAATATAAACAATTAGTGTAGCACTGTCCGCGACTTGGGTTAGTTCCTCCTTGAAAGCATGCTCTGGGTGTTCAAATAAAAGTTTCCCCTTTGGCTAAAGACCCACACCTGTTGATGCTTGGACGTGCGCACCTCCGCACTCTCCGCAATCGACCACCTTTGTAATTACAAAGTACCCTTAGAAATGTCAGAGTACCTGCGTTCGCCCGCCTTGGTTTTGAATTTGACAAATTTCACACCAAATCACTACCTTCCTGACCTGTAGATATACGTTCAAGCCGAAGTGAGAACGCTGTACAGTTTTTTGCATGTCCACTCGTTTCCTCGGAGTAGCAGACAATAATTGCGATTTTAGCCTGGGCTTGCAGGAGCCCATTAACGAATGCCTACGCAGGAACATTTACCCCCCGCGTTAAGTTTAGCGATACCCCGTTCAAACACGGACCTACCCATTGCATTATCCTGACATTAGTCATTTCAAGACCTCATTATTTTATGATGAGCACCATCAGGAGCTTTGCATTCCAAACGAATCGTCTGTCCCACGGTAATCCACCGAGTCTGGCTGCCTTAGAGCTGAGGTCATTAGATCAGGAGCGACTCTGTTCTCTATAGTGCACAGAAGCTTTACTTACTACGCACGCTAATTAACTCTGGCAAGGGTTTGGCTTCATCTATATCTCTGTAGATATGCCACTGTAGTGCAAGCTATACAAGGGCCTTAAATTCAGGCATCGACATCACAGTGAGGTCACTTAGACACGATTCCTTCATATTTTTGAAGAACGCATGAAACTTCTTTACGAACACGTACGAATCCTGTATCGTTTTATCAGACCCACGCATAATATTCGACGAGTGAATGGCGCAAATGGCAAAAACAAATCGAACAAGCAAGCCTCGAATCCTACCCTGACCTCTTCTTATGTGTCCGCGTTGCCTACAACGGATTCGTACCAGTATTAAGCTGGGCCTAATACCGGTCCTTGACGAAACCGAACCCAGCGCTTATGCCACAAACCCCGTTTGTGCCTACCCCTGTCTCCAACGGCGTACTGTTTGCCAAACGTCATACTTTTTGCCATGCACTTTGGTCAATGACTTCGTCAGCTTCGGTCCTTTTCCCTTGTCATTAGCGGTAGTGACGATAGGCTGCTACCGGCACAAACGCGTGTTCCTCACGCTACAGTTCATACTGGCATAGCAATGTCTAGAGCACAATTTAGTATTAACACGCGTCACGACGATCTGCACAACCCCAATTCTAGTAATTAGATTAATTTTTTGCTAAAGTTTTCAAATTTAGTGTTAAAAAATTTGCTGCTGTCAAATTTACGGTCACGAATCTCATCTGCCAGTAACCGACAGCGGTACGAATCGGTCGGAACAAGGTCTGGAGAATACGGCGGATAGGAACAAAATTTCTCGCTTTATTTCTAGGCGATTTTAGTAATCTTTGCTATATGAGGCATCACATTGTTGTCGAAAAGGATGACTTCGTTTCGTATAATTCGTCTTCTATGTTAAACATCCATGTTCACTCAAGAAAACCGGGCCGTGTATTCTCCTCAAGCATTTTCCAGCGCACAAAGCCCTCTGCGTAATTCCTTGTTTTTTTTTCTAAAGATGGAAATCTGAATTTTTAATAAACTTGTGCATGTTTTATAAAGCTACTGATTTCTTACGTTGCTTGCTGTAGACGCAAAAACACCACTTCTCATTGCCGGTAAAAATTGTATGTGGAAACCTATCATCGTAGCCGTATATTGATCTGCGCCAGGTCAGATGCTGGGGACAGCTGAGAAGCCTCGTCTCTTTGTGCGTCTCATACAGTCCATGGCGTGTCCGACCCTCTAATTTCAAATGAAATTACACATATACAACGCATCCGACAATAGTTTAATGTTTGCAGCTTATTTTGTTAACCAAATACCAAATTATTCCCATCCGGGGTTATCATTGACCTCGGACGATCGAAAGCGACACGTTCTCTAGACCTAAGAGCCTATCTTTGAACATAGCAAACCGTTGTTAGCGATTATTTCAGTTCCAAGGTCTCCTATCCTCGGCTGTCCTAGCAGTTTTCAGAGCCTCAGTGAAACATAAAATAGCTGTAAGATGCACTTATTTTTTGCCTGAAAGTTTAATTTTTTGGCGCCTGAAGTCGACGTTTTGGGAAGAAGGAAAAGAAACGTTGAAAAGAACATTAAATTCACTTCTAGTTCAACTATAATATATGAAGTCATTGCGCGCGTGATGACATCTGTTTGAATTTTCTTTATTGCTGATACACTTGATTTGCTCTTTGACGGTTCTCAAACTCAATACTCTCAATACGTTTCTTTGGCTCTGTTTTTCCTAATAAGCTTCCTTTTTATAGCCTTGTTTCCATGTATCGATTAATCATTGGTATTTTCTATCTGTCTGCTTTTGTTTTGACGCTGCTGGCTCATTCCGTACCCCCTCTTACGTTCTCTCTTTTTTCGGCTCGTTTAGATTCATCATCCTTGCCCCGGCTTTTTTTGCTACTACTGCCATTCTGTGTCCATTGTTTTTATTTGGCTCAAATCTGTTTTTACCTATAGTTAATAGTTTTCCATTTGCTTATGTATTATCTGTGCTATTTATATGCGGATCCCACAATTTTTCCCTCATTTGTATCAGCGTCGTTCCTGGAATTAGCTACTTTCAATAGCAATAATCATCAAATCGTTAACAGCGTACACATTTATCACACGCTCTTTTTGTCGGCTTCGCTAAAAATAATAGCTTGGAACGGGCCCTATAGTTAGTATCGGTTAATTTTTGCTCGAGCTCCTTTTCACTTGTCAGTTAGGCTACAATTATATCAGAGGAGCAGCAATCCATCGATCAATAAATCGACGTACTGAAATCACAATATTGATCGCAGTCGCTATGGGCAGGTGGTATTACAGAATACGGAACATGGAAACTGATATTACATGTACGCTCATTGTAACTCTCAAGTCATTCATTCAATTAACATGTATACAACATGTTTTATATAATATATGTAGAGATTTATTTTGTTATTTTTGATTTATAACACACAGAAACCTCCTTAAATTTTCCTTTATATATAATAATAATAACTAAACGTCATTCAGTTGTGAAGGATATGAGTGATTCTTACACACAATCAGCATCTAGATGGTGCATCCTTAGTTCTTCTCTTTTGTAATATATGAATTCTCATTATTGTTTTCGCCTGTTGAGTCGATCACCGCAACTGATAATATATCACGCCTCGTTTTATGTGCTGACATCGGTTCGCGCGCTTTTTTTCGTAATTATTCTTCTCAGCCGTCGTGATATCGGAAAACGATCTGTCATAATAAGAGGTCTCGTAAATAGGCTGAATAGTATGTTATATATTATATGTAGGTTGATAGATTTCATATAGGCGCAGTGACTAGATCTGTTTCTACCTGTACATTTGCTTACGTGGATTTCTCGGTCGTTCACACCGGCGTGTCGAACTTTTAGGGAAATGCGCGAATACTTACAAAGTAAACAGCACACTTTTATTTTATAATACGTGTAAGTTAACAATAATTTTTACAATGGTTGCTGTTTTTATAGCGATTTAAGAACAGCAGATAGAACTAAACCGAACATGCTAAACCTAAATGCTTGAAACAATATAGAATTATTATTTATAATAATCTGTACATACATTCGTATGTTAGTTATAATTAGTCTGCGTAGCATTTTTCATACACGGTTAAATGTTACACAGATCTAAACACATGTCCAAAATGTTTGGTTTTTCATTTATTGGCAGAGGGTTCTGGGCGGCCTGGCCTATTCTGGCTATTATGGCCTAAAAACTACCATGAAAATAAAAAATAATTGTCGTATTTGCATTGCCCCACTTCTTGTTCTAGCCAGTTTGAAACGTCGAATCCAGCAATGGAAGACTTGTTCTTATTGTTGCATTTCTTTATTTCTCGTTTATTACTATTTCACTCATAATGTTACTCTTCATTTCTGCCACCTCTCTTATATCGCTTAATTTCAGCTTATTATAGTTAATTATAATTGCAATAATATCTATATCTTGATTATATGCTCTTCGTCTTGCGATTGTTGTTATTATAATTGTTGTCAGTGTAATCATATATATATATATATATCGCCTTTAATATTATATCGTATTCATAATAATATCAATCATAATTGTAATTCTCCCGCCATTTAGATGTGGGCACTTTACAGGTTACATCACTGGACACTGTTTGTCCCTAGGTTAGCAAATACTCGTGAAGTCACCCTTGCTGTACGATTTTCAATGCAGCGTGCACATATGTGCAGCTGCACGAGCTCACCTCACTAGACCACCTCGAAAATAGAAGGGTACGGCATACGGCGAGAGGAGCAAGACTGGTCGGCAGTAATTAACACTTTTCTCGGTCAGCCCATTTGGATCACCTCATTTTTCCGGCATCATTAACATTAGCCTCATTAGCAGTTAGCATAAATCTTTTTCCTGTTAACAATTATATTTACTCATTCCTTTCGATCTGATTAAACATGGGCGACCTTGTCTCTATTAGCATATAGAACATTGTGCATGCACTACCATAGCTTGTTACCTTTTGAACCCGTGTGATTTTTGTATATCTAAAAGACATGCCATTCTTTCGTTCTTTGTTGAGGTTATCAATCCTATATTATCGTACACTGACGCAAGTGCTATCTTTCTTTTTCTCATAATCGACTACGATACCATAGATCTTCCACACAAAGTTGTACCACTGGTTAGTACAGTCGTGAAGCCGATACGACCTGAAGATTTACCTCATTACATTCGACTGATTTGGTTTCATTCGTGGGCCAACCCGTTGGGCTGCACGCCCGCTTCACTTTATGTTGTGCTTTGACTCTATTTAATCGTTCGTATGCTATCTAGTCCTTGACACTCATCACTACTATTCTGTTATAATTGTTTTTTAGTCATTACATTGGAATACACTATGCCTCTGTGTTCATTGAGTTCTGATTGCTAGCTTCGACACGGGTAGTGGTGATCATGGTGTAATCCCGATCAACTGCCCTGAAGACCTCCATTCAAAAATTCGACAGAAACAATTGGCCTTTACTGCACTTAGTGGTGAGTATGGTTTGTATATGCTCATTTTCTGATCATATGTCTTTCTTTTTCTGCTTTATGGAAACGAGGAAAGTGATCTCAGGTAGTTTAATGGTCTTGAACCTCTGTGGGCTTTACAGTGGTAATATATGGGTGTTAACTGTTCGGTGCGAGATTGAGTAAGCTGTGAGGGTCACCTACGAGGTTTTGCGGTCAATCGGATATTGGAAATCCACGCTCATCGCTCTTTTAGTTCCTGTCGGATGCTTTTCACGGCAAACTATGTTTGTAATAACGGACACACTGTCAGAAATGCCGGTCAACGAACCTACGCAAGAATGTCAGTTACAGATCTTGTGGAAGTGATCGTGATAAAACTGGGTTTGGAATAATTAATTCAGTACGCAGCTAGAAAGTTCTGTGTTTCCTGTCAAAGGCAACTGTACTTTTTGTAAAAGCATTTAACACCGTTGCATGCACTGCCAGATTTGTTTGGGGTCAATTTGGATTATGAGGTAGTGCTGAAGCGATCTGAAGCGGCCGTGCGTAGGGTCGTTGCTAGGCGTTCCATTAAGACGTCATCCGATTGCGTGCAATTCAAGCGTCCATCTCAGATCCTGAACAGCGGAAAGAACCGTCAGCCATTTCCGGTAACCGGCGGCACCTCAGCGGTCCTGCCGTCAGTCAGGGCACCACCATCCGGAGTGTCCCGAGCAAACGTCGGGCGGTTTGGTACTTATTCAGTATTATACAGTAATCGCAGTAGTATTAATTATAATAATGATAATTATGATAATAACTATAATAATTGTGTACACGAAGAAAACATCACAGCTACTTATTTACAACAATTCAACTGATGACAGAAATGCCAGTTTGTGACTTTCCGAACAGTATACGTGTTTCAGTGCGTCATTATAGTCATCGCGTTTATTTTATCTTTATTGGTGTACTAAAACAATTGTAGTGCTCGGATTTTCTGGTTTGAATACAGCCCGCCCAACTGGTGGATTGTGCTTTGTATATCAATCCTGTAGATCTTGAAATGTCTGTACTTGGTTACAGGCCGCTAAGATAACCGCAATACGCGGCCGATTACTGCATGAGACAATAGCAATATCGTACAAATAATAGAACGAAACAATGTTTTTTGTAAAGAGAACCAATGTAATCTTCTACCATGACGTTATAAATCAAGAGGTCGGGAACTTCATTTGACGCATGCACACCTCTTGAGGTAGCCACGGCAAAAATAACATTCACTTAAGGTTCTAGTAAGGCTACGTGACCACATCATCGTAGAACCGCCAGCAGAAGAACCCGTAAAGAAAAATTAGGGAGAATTAAGATTAAACAAAAAGCATCGACCACTTACGACAAACATGAATTTCCATGAAGAACCTCAACAATTCGTTGAACTTAGATAGATTTATGTTAAATTTAGTGCACCTACACATTTAGAAACAGCTGTACATTTCGAAAGAACATAACATCTATCAGACGGTAACTGCTGCGGCTCAGACTCGTGACTGTCACGGAACCGTACATGTATATATATATATATATATATATATATATATATATATATACTCGGCTATGAATGATTCGCCGAGATTATGACCGCCAAGACTGATTCGAAAATGTTCTGTTCATGCGCAACGAATAATGTGCAGCCGTCAAAGATTCATGCACACAATCCAGGAAATATAAAACAAACCCAAATAGAAAACACCTTTGCGTCTTTCTCTAACGCTCGAAGAGAGGCTAAGCTACGAAGCCGCGATTGATTGATCCACTGATCAATGTCTTCGTCATGTCTATGTATGTACGAAACAGCGGAATCGCTATATAATGCATTTTAAGTTCAAAGTTCGGTGCGCTTTCGTAGCAGAAGCGTCTAGCGAGAGCTTAACTCAGAACTAGTTCGTCTGTTAGAGCAGTAGAATGTCCTGCAGGATGATATATCTGTCAGTAACTGCTGCTTGCGCTCATCAAGCTTATGCGATCGTTTAGGCTTCATTGAGAACTGGTATAGGCGGCATCGGTAGATGGTATGCCTCCACTAAACCAGCGAACGATGTGAAGATTCCGATAATTCCGGAGATACCGCCGAAGACGATAATGAACACCTCCCAGCAGATCTGCGATGTTTCTATTTGACCCCACTTGAGCTTCATGTGAAAGTAGCACGGCCAGATAAACGATAACATCGTGCCTAGCGGAGAGAAAAATCACATAGATAATAAACAATATTATGATCATTAGGTGCTATCAATGGACTCATAACAGCATCTATTTGAAAAACGGGAGATGTTCGACGATCTAAAATGCGACAGCATGTGAAATAAACTACAATGGTGACACCTATAATATCTACAAATAAAACCCAATTTTGTATGCAAGAAAAACACATTGGGACGTTGTCGTATTGCTCTAATTATTTCTATCTTTTGCTGTTGTGAAAATACTAATAGTCGACGGGAATGATAAAGGTCCCAAAATGACTTCTATTGAACGTATCTTTTATTGTATAATGTAATGTAACGGTAATTGAGCCAAACCAGTGCTGTTTATGTTTACATTCAGGCGGCCAAAAAAACTATACGAAATCGGCAAAGCTGCCATAAAGGTCTCCATCATCGTATATCGACGAGTGACGGGAAAAAAAATTAGCAGACTGAATTTTTCGTGAAAAACTGGGAAAGGTCGAATAGTACCTTGCGTAGGGTTTTGTGATAGAACAGCTAAATAGACTCCAACGTTTTGTTAAGGGCATAGATGTCGAATGAATAACGCTCGTTTTCCAAAAATAATGCTATTTAACTGAGCAAAGTAACTTTATGCATGTTCAACCTTGGTTCCGATAGGCAAAAAAAACCGAAAATGTTATGCGGCAGTTAGCACAACCACGTTCGCTCTCCATAGAACAGAGTGAGACGTCAAGGCTTACGAACAAAAAAGAGACGACTTTTATCAAAAAGAGGAAATGGCCATAATGAGGACCATTTTTCCAGTCCTATCGGGATGTAGCAATTCATCTGTGTCCAACTACAGCTGAGGATCAGAAAAATGTGTGTTTTAGGATGAATTGACTACGTCATTGATATTCTTGTTGCCATTATTGAAACTAGAAAGTGCTGAACAGCAAAAGAAAAAAGTAAATTAGTGTACTTATATAAATAGTACACTATTTACACGGGAACGTTGATTATTTATGGTAATGGTAAATTTTATCCTAGTAGTTATTGAAACATTTGTAAGAAACAACTGAAGTGTCAATAATACGCATTTTAGCTGTTAAGGCTGTGCTGCAATGCTGGTAGGCGTGGCGGCATCTTTGCGCTTTTTATTGACCTTCAAGCATAGTAAATACTCAAAGATAGCGATATTCTAATGTACCCAAAGTGCGCTTGAGAGCCATGCGATTCTCTCAACAGGTTAGACTATTAAACATGACCGTGTAACAAACGGGACTAGGCACTACAAATTAAAAAAAAGTGGTGACGACATCTATAATACTGATTGGACAAACGCATGCGACCGATATTTTTATCTATGACATAATCAATGCTCAGTGCAAACGAGCCTACCAGTAAAACTGCCGATAAGCCCCATCAAGAGGGCGAAATACGGAATTGAAACAGCCAGTAGCATAGTGAAGATGACAAGGCCAACACGAGCGGCCAATCCCCACACGCGTAATTCTCCGTCGATCGCGTAGCACGAAGGAAATAGGGTCTTAGGCCGCTCGCGGAAGTACTGATGCTCCAATAGTGCTGCTGCAGCGAAGTATGGAAGCGGATATGAAAATAGGGCCTTCACGACAAGAATTAGGTTGATGACAATTTTGAAACCGCGCGTTGGCAAGTTGTTTGTAATTACTTCCTGCGTCTCATCCGTCCAGGTCAGGAAGCACAACCAGGCGAAGATCGCTATTGGGCAATGGAACGACTCTGCTTAGATACTGGAGTTTTGCACTTCTTCTCGTACCTTAGTATTGGGTGCTATTATCATATTTTCTGAGAATCTCTGATAGAACTGTGGAATCGATAGAAGTTTTTTGAGGCAGTCACCTTTGAACATAGCAGCAGCAATATGAGACCAGTTGAGCATGCAATGGAACTTGCTCCTGTCGATCATGCTGCCCTCGAGCGATGGCAGAAATATTTGCGATGTATAGCTGAATACGACGATGCCCATGGTGACAGGGAATTTGTCCATGTTGATTGACCAGCTTACTTTTCCCCAGCCCCAGTCGCCGGCGCAGAGCAGACAATATCCAAGAATGATGACATTGATGAACAAATGTGCCATCGTGCACCAGAACGACAGCATTGAAACCGAGCGCAAGTCTCGAAGGAACGCGCAGGGCAGAAGAATCATGGTGAAGATCATAATCCACGATCGCTGGTCAATCGGGCTATCGGGAAACGAACCGACCATCAAGTCTCCGCATAACACGATATATAGGATGCATGTCATCAATAATTCGGTCACCTGAAGCGAGAGATGAAAGCGGCTATGCGTATTTAGTACGGAACAATCCATGTGTCGATGCCGGCTTTCGCATCCAGGCCTCACTTGTATGAGACGTGTCCTTAAGCATACTAAGCGACCATATCGGTATCGTTGCACTATCTCACGACAAAATATGTAGGTAACTAGTTTTCTTTTGAAAAAGTTAAGAGATAAGTTAAGTTCCCCGCTAAATATTTCACCCCGAAACCGATTAAAATATTATTGTAAATTAACTCTGACCTGTGCGAAATGAACGCTCCGGCCTCCCCACTTACTCCCGAGACAGACTTTAGCGATGGACACGTAGCTGTCCCGTACACGAATCAATTCGCCTTTGTCGTTGTATTCATAAAGACACTCCACTAAGATCTTGCCCGTGTGGCAACAGATGTACGCGACGAATACAAGTGCAAATATACCCCAGTAGCCGCCTTGCTGCACGGAGTACGGTAAACTCACGATGAACATTCCCTATGGGTTGGAACGCATTGGATGTAGTGGAAGTGTGAGGATTTCGTGAGTCGCACGTTACGTTATAGTCTAATGTCCACGTAAACTGGCATTTTTCAAGTTGACCCTCTACGCTGTCGGGCCACGAGGGAAAATAGGCTAAAAAAAGTGATCAAGATTGTGAACCACGCTGTACATATTTAACGACAGTTAATTACAGAAGTTAGTCTGTCAGTTCTCTATGTCGGAGTTGTCAACGTTAACTAGGTTAAAGTCATCCTATTTGCTAGCTACATAGGTTTACTTTACAATATCTTTCGTAACTACTTATCGAAGCGTTTCGTTCTATACGATTAGTTCCTTACCGTGTGCGTCGACTAAGCTATCACCATGTATACAATTGTAGATTGACAGCAGTGAATTTGATGAAGTAAATATGTTAGAGTCAGATACTTCCGTGTGAGGAAAATGCGACGCTAACAGGTGTTGATGCTAGCAATGATCGAATCGAGCTGCATATCTTAGGCTAACACGAGTTACCTGGATCGCATTGGTGACATTCCACCCTGCTTGCCATTCATCGATTTTTTCTTGTCCTTTGTCCCCGAACTCGTCCACCTCAACGCTGCTTCCCTGCCGTTCGAGGCGAGCACCGTTCGTCAAACTTGTTTCTGCATAACCGCCCTCTTCAGTATAACTGGAAATTCAGCCAGATATGCAATCCATAAAAAAATAGAAATGGTAAGGGTTTTTCGCAAAGAGGCTCTGTATCTTTTTCGATAAAATGGCAGAATGCTATGGAGGTAAAGCATAATTGCAAATAAGAATGGTTTATGTAAAGGTCGATAATAAAACAGTTACGATAGCCGGGATTTTACTCACTTTTGGAAGTTGGACATTTCGGTGCCTGCACCCCCGCGTAGGCCCGTGCCTTCGCTTGGCCCTCCTGGTCCAGTTCCATCGGCGCACGCTCCTGGACAATACGATTTGACTCGTTGCACAAGTACTGGAGCCTGCTCCTTAGCGCGCGTTAGGAACTCGGCCGCAAATCCAGCCGCCATCTCGACGCTGACCTCCCGTCAGCTCCTTTAGGGCACGCGCCACAATTCGCACGTAGACACAATGGAGACGAGAATGAAATCATTCGATCACGCGATGCCACACAAATTAGAATTTCATTTAATTGTTTTAAGCTGTCTCTTACATTCAACAAACAAATTTTCTAAATAAGAGACGGCCGAACAATCGACTGTAGATAGAATAATTGACAACCATAGCAATATATACATATGTCTTTTTGCCAAAACCACGCTGAAAAGTCACGCTGTCCTCGCCTGTGCACCCACAAGGGCTGCGAACTGGAGCCCTCTGCGCGTTTCACACCGACGTCACGTTAGCCGCAAAGCTTTTAACGCAATCCCGTAATATCGATGTACTCACCACACCGTCAAAACGCTTTATTTCCTGGTCACTTCATGCGTCTGGCGGTGAATTTCGTTTCCTCAGCACGTACGCACTCCTGCACCCAACGCAATACCTGCGTGAGGCGCCGAGTCTCGCTTATACTTCCGTAATGGCACAACTGGTGCTGTGACTGCTTGAGGGGAGGCAACGATGCTGTACTTAGCCCTGGTGTTGTACATTCGGAGGGCAGCAGCAGCACTACGGCTTGCAACGGCGCGGACAGTAGAAGCCGCGAAGTTCGGACTCGGAGAAGCGCTCGGCCAAGCGCGTAACAAATCGGGACGAGTCTATCGCGCAAGCACTGAAGCGCCGATGTATCGTTTTGCTGGAGTGCAGCCGGAAAAGCGCCGTGAGTCCGCAGACAAACTCGAGATTTAGCTAGCGAAAGACGACTCACGTGCTCGGTGATCTTATCCGTTCTTGTTATTGATATACGAATAATCGCTAGTTGAGACATTATTGCTGTGAATTGAAGACTAAAACGAAACATTTCGGCCAGAGCAATTAAAATTTAGTCTGCTGTTACTGTCGAAAGGTTTGTAGATGAAAGTGAACTTTATCGGTGGACAGAGCACTGATTCGCGGTTGCTTGTAGCACACACACATCATACGGTGTTGGTAAACTGGGATTGTGACGATATTTATGTTGTAGGTAACTAGTCATAAGCACGAAAGGTTTTGTGTGCTTGCCGAAATAAGAAAATGGATTTAAGTCTGGACCCATTCAGAAGGGGCGGGAGTTAAGAAAGCGATTCGAAATCAACAGTTGTGCCGGCGACTTAACCGGCAAATGGTCAAAAGAGCGGTTAAAGAACAAATTGATAAATAAAGAGCTGAAGTGAATGCAGTGTCAGTGACATATAGTGTAATACAGAAAGTCAATCAATAAATGCAAAAAGCAAAACAAGAGCATCTCTCCTTTAATCTAGTTATTGAGAGATAGGACTCCATGTCGCAACATAGCATTCTAGAATCTAAAGAGGTTTGATTAATCTTTTAGTAAAATATTTCAAAGCAGCTTTCGTTGCATAGGGTTCTACAAAAGCATGCAAAAATTGTAAATGCAATTTTTCAGTAAACCTTATCCAACCAATACATCTACACTATTTAATTTTCATAACGAACACCGCAAAGTAACACGCATAAGGTATGGCAACGTTATAGAGAATCGTTAGGATATAGAAGGAAAATTATTACTCTTGCTAACTTATTACTATATATAGTGATTTTATTTATTTGCAAAGTAACTAAAGCCAGGAAACGACGACCAGAATCTATCGGAAGCAGAAACTTTTTCTTTGAAAAGTTTGTAGTTACAAATCAGGATGAAGACAATCGGGTACCGAGACCTCTTCTAGTGGTCTTCTACAGTACTCCTTCCCTATTTTCTGATTCGCACGCGTAACTATCAGTAATAAGCGTAATATTTTTTATGAAGACCGGCAATTCTGCATGTGAAAATGTAACACGAAATATTTTTTTGTAATAAAAACACGACGCGTTTTTCTGGGAAGTGGTTTTTGGGGTTTGATTCCTCTACTGCGTTTGGCTCTATTCCGAGCCGATGTCCTCGAAGCTTAATGAAATATTTAGTAATAAGCGATTTTTTATCCAAGCTTAAGCTATCAGTATCAATACAACTACTATCGGTCTATTGTTTCTGGCACCACAGGAATCGATTTTGAACATTTTACGCAATAATATTATTTATTAACAACTGCGTACTGAGATGAAAACGTCGGCCGACAGTGAATCACGTCACATTAAAACTGAATATCTTTTCGCTTAATTAGACTATAATGATGATTTTTCAATATGTGTTAGAGGTGCGTGTCTTTATTTTTTTTGCACACTTGTACAGCGCTCTGGAAGCTTCTGGACATTGCGTTCTTATGTGTAATTTCCCTATCTATAGCTTCAAGGAGTTAATCGATAATAGGACATGTTTACTTACTAGTGTGTTCTTTTTAGGGCATGGGAAGCCCCTTAATCATACGGCTTAGATCGGGAAAATAAACGGATTGATGTCAGCGTAGGATATTCCTTTGCTTAATTCAGGAAGCAGCTGAGGCATGGTGATAGGTTTTGGCGTTGTCACCAAATAACCATAATCCATGAATCTTTTGAGGAACTGGAGATGGTCGGCAGCATTTATTGTTCAATTTTTAGCAAGTATCTCGTAGTGGCAGATACCCCTGATATACGTTGTAAGTGGTACGCCTCGACATTGCCATCCAACTTCATTTTTTTCCAAAGCGATGCCATTCTCACGCCTAGTCCCTCTCCGGCTACCGGTAGAAATTGAACCATGCCTCATCTACGGCAATCATACGCTGCAGGCGGGTTTTTCTGTCGATTGCACGTGCAACGCACCACACACATTTCCTAGTCAAAAGCTAACTTACAAGAGACCCATCTTCACTCAATTTTCGCATTTTCAGTATTTAAGATATAGTTTTGTAAAGCATATGAAATACCGTTTTGGCCGACGGTATTCTTAGAGTTTAAGCTCTGCTTTTGTGAAAAGTCCCCTCGATTATGGCATACCCCGCCCTGACATGGTCCTGCGCCGTTTGCGCACTGTACTTATGTTTAAGGCCTGCTTGTCTAATGTCGTCGTTAATCTTCGAGGAATTTTCGCAGCATTGTCGCCTTTAAGAAACAAACAGCTGGCTGCTAAAAGCTGATTTTCGGGACTAAAAAATATTTTCCCTCCCAGACAAGTTTCTTTTGGGGTAAACTATTCACCAGCCGTAGCTCATCTGTTACTGGCGTGCAGTTGAAAAAATATTCAGGTTCGCCAGATTGCCAAGTACGCTAAATTCCCTTAAAATAAAAGAACCTAATATTTAAGAACTTACTTTGGTGGATACATGGGTAACATTAAACCACACATTAAACAATATATGGGGACAACTAAAGTTTGGTACCCGTGTAACACTTTGCCAGAACTAAATCCAATATTTACTAACAAAATAAAATTTTAAATGATAAAAAATTAAAATCCATAAGTGAAAAGTATTTTAAAGTTGTTTTTTTTTATGTATATGTTGTATGTTTACAGTAACTAGACGCTCAGATACGTTTCTATAAGGCTCTGACCGTGTGTGTTTTTGACAGTAGACTTTGTCTGTTTCGGCTCAAAGAAAAACCAAAGTTGATTAGCAGGGCTTCAGCTTCGCTGTGAATAATTTTGCATTAGAAAAGTATAATATATTTTCTATTAAGTTTAAGTTAGCTGAATGGGAAGATCGATCAAGTTACGGAACTCGAGTCTGTGACCTTTGGGTAGGCTACAGAGGAAGACACAAACATGCAATATGCGATTACCAGAATCAGCTAGAGTTCAACAATGATCGCGTCCAAACACCAATTATTCATTATTTGCGTGCGATTAGAAATATCGCAAAGTATTTTGTCGTTATTAACATATTGATATGGTTCATCCACATGTATAGGGTATAGAGCAGCACAGATAACTAACTAGATATGACATAAAACGCTTCTAACGCTTTTACGACCCAATATTGAGTGTAGAAGCCATCCATCCGTATCTAGAGAAAAAATTAATAACATCAGGTTATACGAGATTGTAATTATTCGAAAAAATTGATAATAGCTACAGCACTTACTTCACATTATTATTATTAGTCAGTATGGTGACGCCATAATTATAAAATGATCACAGATCGTGTTATCTGCAGTAATTTTTTGCATGAAAATAAACATTTTTCTGTTTTTAGCTTGTCCGCACTTCAAGCAGGTTTTGTCCACGTTGCGCTCGCCCGTTTCAGTTTTTTTTTTTTTTTGTTTTTGACTTCAATACTGAGCGCTAACGCTGTATCACTCCGTTCCTACATTGTTGATCAGAAAAGCGTTCTGGTGAAGCGTTAACAAAGTTTTCAGGTCTACAATTACATATGCAACGATTCTATCTAATCTCAAAAACGAAGTGGTGCGTGTTGCAACGAATTAGGCTGGTATTGAAAAAACCGTTGAGAAAAAACAAGTCGTACGAGGGCTTGCCGTTAGTCTATTTGTGTTCACACCCTGAAGACTACTAAGGCGATCGCATGCAAAGGGATGAGGGGGAACCGGTATCATCGGAACGTTCCATGCTTTGGGATGTCCTGCACCACTTGCGACATGTCGATTTAATATATTTCGTAGGAAAGTTCTACGAGTTTCTCAAAGAGGCAAAGCTGTTGCCAATTATAATTCCATGCGGTTTGGCATTGTTTACTGTACCCCTTCTACCCGTTATTATTGCAATTGTGATCCATTGCGTATATTACGGAATCAGTGAGGGTGCTTGGCTCGATCGGCACGGTAAGATAAATCAAATTCATCATATATACATACATGCATATAGATTTTGGTTAGAATGTCGTCTACTGAGCAGAAAACAAAAAATCAATTTTGTTATTCGATTTTCTCATAGTAGCAGTGAAACATTGTTATTATTCGACTAATACTACAACTGAACGCTATAGTCAATCCGTACGGTTCTATTGTTAGCAGAAGGAAAGTAAGCGTTATTCAATGATGATGGATGCGCTCCTTGACAGATTATAATCGACAACTGAATGAAAACAAAGCTATGGCATACTTTAAATTTATATATTATATATACGGATTATATTCATAGCCTGGCATACTATCAATATAGTCCGTATATAGGGTCGATGAAGTCTGGAATACGCTCGTACGTATCATTGCTGCGTACGTATCAATACAAACTGCTGGCAGTTTGCAATAATCGTAATCATAACTGTTTGACTCATGACACAAGTTCAGCCTTGAACCTGCTATTCCTGGGCCTGGTGTTCACGCGGCTGATCATCTATTACGTATCATGTCTGGGCTATGCCGATTACGTCCCACCGAAGTGTCCATTCGCATGCACGTGTCTGCAAAACGATGAGATCTGCATGTTCATCTCGGAGCTCCTTGAGTGGGTATTTGGACAATGGAAGAACAGTTTGCAGCTTCAGCGCAGCGTCTACGGTATGAATGTAAGATGTCCCTCCTCTACAATGTTCCCTAATGTTAACACAGCCATCTATAAAGATCCATATTAATGCAAAATTCCATTTGGTCTGTATCGAGGAGTGCATCTTGAATATCCACATTGGATACTTGCCAATTTCGATGGGCTCCAGGCATCGCAACGATTATTTTATTGTGGAAATCGAATAGGAGCCGAAACTATTTAGAGGGTGAAGCTTTACATTATAAGCCAATATAATCTGATGTGACTTGGTTGGACGATCTTCGCAGGCGCTCTACGAAACGAACTGGAAAACTTTTTTTTGAGGCTTCGTGTGTATGGTATCACTTGGGGAGAGCCTACATTTGCTATAAGGAACGCTCGGGTAACTAAGATAGAGATAGATCCTCTGACTGCAAAACCACAGCTGCTCGAGTTCGATCTACAGTTTAATTTTCAAGGAGAGATTACGTTAAGTGTCATGACCTACAGGAACCACCAGGTTGATGTAACAGTTAGTAATACTATGAACCTGTCATAATTTCAATAGGTCCCTATCTGAGAACTCATTTAGTGACGTAGCATCTCCGGACAATGTCGAATCAAAAAACAAACGATACTTTTTGATACTGTCCAGTTTTTCTGGCCAACAAATAGAAATATAATTGCTAGTCATGCAGATGAGATCTTTCACAGTTAAAAATTTATAAGATCGAAAGTGAAATGGAGCTGGAACCACATGCTTGTATAACCGTTAATATGGACTAAGTCGATCGAGTAAAATATTAATCTGAGAGGGCATTTTTCGCAGCTCAAGTCGTGGGAGGCAAACTTACGGGTTCATATAGCAGAACTTCCCTATCCGAGCTTCTTTGTTGCCTTCACTGAGATGCCTAAATTCAACAGTTCGCTACGTACGACAATGAAGGTATGACCTCAGCTACAGACAATGAGCTCCCTTAACATACGGTATATTATCACTGCATAGAAAATATAACTTATACGATCGAAACGCTTAAAGTCTAGGTGCCGTCTTAGTTTAGCTTAGAACAGGGTTTGCAAACGTGAGGCTTCAGTTAGAAGGATGCGGTTACAGAGCGAAGAAAAAAATCGCAGCTGTCCGATATCATTATCCGATGTAATTACCAGCTGTACATTAGGCAACTGTTTAGCTGTTAGTTAATAATACTAAAAAAATATATATATATATAATAGTATAGTATAGTAGAAGGGATATATCTTTTTATTTTTAGTTATATATATATATATATATATATATATATAAACTAAAAATAAAAAGATTCTTTTGGGAGCTTAATAAATGGCCTCTGCCCCCATGTATCCCTTCTACTATACGTCTAACATACTTTGTCAATTGAATATAAAAATACTCGTGGCTCGTGACTAAAATGCGTAAAACCACTAAAAAGTAAGGCATGATTTTATCCAAAGATGGCAACCGGAGGCCTCACGCACACCACAATTAAGGCAGCTTTGAGGCGCACTATCAAGAAACAAATGGTTCTACCAAAGTACCGTCTTCACTACATATCCCCACTCGGAGGGAAAAAACTCTTTCTACCTTACAAACCGATGGGTTGGAGTTCTACAATGGAGGAGTCTACTTTAAGCATTCGTCTAATTTCGTGTTCGCGATTAGCAGTTATGCCTACAACGGTACACGCTTGCAAAAGGATATTCTAATTGTTCAATAAACATCGCCAGCTTGGTATGGTAATAATGATGTATAACTGACAAGGAGAACCCGATAAACTATCAGATGTGGAAATATTATTTTTTAATCAGTGTTAAAAATTTTCTACAGCTCCCAGGCACCTCGTGGGCTGGACTTTGAATCTTTCCGAACTATTCAACAAACTAGCTTTCGGGCAACCGATTTTACAATCTGGCTCATTTGAAGAAGACATACCAATAATCGTCTGAACTGTGTGACGCCCCGCTAAATACAAATTTAATACAGAAAATACGATGCGTTTGCCCTATAAAAACAAGAGTTACTACGGCAAGCGCGGTTTAGTACTCTGCCTGTTAATTCTGTTTAGGTGACAGGTGATCCACTTGCTGCTGTGTTTTTTTAGAGTTTTCCCACTCCAGGGTGACTAAAGCAAAAATTGTCGGCCAAGTTCATTTTGAGACGTCTGTTAGTATATAGGCAGTACATCATCGCCCAGAGAAGAATCCTTCCAGCACTCTATCTAGCGAACCACTGAGTTATCAATGCAAATTAAATTATATACTGACTCTTGAAGTAATGAACAACATACAGGCGAAATTTTTGCAATAATGTCTATCATGTTGTCGGTAGATTTCAACAGCCGTTAATTATTTGAAGTTTTAAAACTCATCAAAATTTAGCTAGACAAGAAACGAGTCGAACGGTCAGAATAGTAGCCCTTCGAAAGGCGTGCACCGAAACTGGGAGTTCATTTACACCCTTAGTAAAAACCCAACTCATACCCAATGTTATTCTTTGGATTATTTGTCAACAATTCAAAGTAGTGCTTTTTCAAAAATTTAATTTCAGAATGTGCAAGCCTTAGTACAGTTGTCACGGCGCCCACTTTTTAACATGGACCAAGTGACATTCAAACCGTTCGTGAAGTTCGATATCAAAGCTCGAGTTAGCCGTGAAGTCGCTGCGGGAGTCGTGTTGACCGATGAGGTCCGTGACCCTGACCATTTGCCATATGTCAAAGTGTTGCATATTGCTCGAGGCAGTCGATTTGATGGTTGCCTGAAAGTTGGAGACTTTCTTCAAACAATTAATGGAGTAAGCATAAGGGTGAGGTCAAACAACGGTGCTACACATTTCACAAAAGCCGTTTCCAATCATCAACGATGACAGTTGCATTTACTAAGGCGTATTCTTCTACCTATAAGCAATAACGCTTTAATCGTTTGCTTAACATCACGCGTGATAATTGTGGTCCGTGATTATATCGGGTGACTTTCTTCTTTATAAAATAACAGCGATAAGATGATAATAATGGAGATAACGGAATATTTAGTGTGTAATGCACGCGTTTTTCCTTAACATCGTAAAGTCCTTTACGCAGACCATCCCAGTAAAAAGGGGATATAGTTGTAGATAAATAGGCGTGTAGCACTTAATCAGTTTAGCTATAGCGTTCTTTAGTCAATTCACAGTAACTGATTAATTAAAATTTGACTGTCAAGTGCAACCAATTCTCTACAATCCTTAAAGATAGGGAGTGAAGGATGGTCGGGCGCTACTAGATGAAGTTGATGGAGACGTAAGGCTTCAGGTAGTCCGACTTCATCCATTTAATTGGTCCGCAAAAAAAAGACGAATGACTCCTGCGCACGGACTTAGGATCTCAAAAAAGTTTGGCTATCAACGAAACCTGGAAGGATGGCCAAAATGCTCGCGTGAGGGTAAGCCGTTTCTGTTCCTCGGAATCTTGCATCACATAGGTAAGAAGATCGGGTGTGATGTCAACGTAGGTAACAGATTGATTAGGCGAAATACACAATATTATTATATGTTGCCCTTGAAGTAAGCAGAGAGTAGGTACAACCTTGCACTACATAAGACCCTTGCATGTATCTTTCGAATGAAGTTCTGACCATCAATTCTTTTTGTAGCTTTCACATTTATGGGAAATTAATCCGAGTAGAAACAGGAGCGTTCATTGGTACAGGTAGGTGTACCGAAGATCGCTGTCGGGAGGATTTTAAGTCCATAACGCCCTCAGACGTCTTTTCGATAACCGAAAAATTGCTTCTTATTTAGTACCTCATACTAAACCTACGTCGCTTCTTGACGTTAGTAACAAGCTTGCTACTTACTCGAAACATTAATTGAAGCGAACCTACTGAGGTTGACCTCTTATTGAAGTACACGAGCTACATTAAAGTATGTTATTCTTGTAGATGATTACCAAATCGCACAGAGTGTGGTTGAAGCAAAATTTGGGGAAATTGGAGATGTCATACACAGGACCGACAGGGTGCAGGCTTCAGCAGCCAGCTTCAATAAAACGTTCGAATTCCAGCTGAATAGAAACCTATTATACTTGAACGTCGCCGTGCTTGCGGTAAAATATTTCCTGTTTTTCCGCCTATGTTATTAATAAACAATAACGATAAAGGAACGTAGCACATACGTAAGGAATGCTTTTACAATTGCTTAACTATTACGATATGTATGTAGAGAAAGATCAATGAAGAAAGCGTAGTAATAATAATGGGAATACTATCAAATAACAAATGTGAGCGTTACGATACCAATATATATTGACCGAAGTTAGCGAGTGGTGTTTTCCAACCTTTGGCTCTCGCAAAGTAGAGTGTTATATGATGGCCTTGAGTTGAGGCGACGAAAGGAAAAACAATAAGAAATATTCTCACATTTGAAAACCCTGCGATTTTATTAGATGAAGGCAATACGTATAGGTCTGAAAATTTAATCATCCCTTATGTCGAAGACATTCAAAATATCGTACGTTTCTTGATGAGATTATATGAGGGACTTGATCCCATGATCGGATCCAGATATCAGTATTTCGCATAACTGAGCACATGGTGGATCTAGTAATATCTAGATAATACTAGATAATGCGTTATTTACATAATGCGTTCGTGAACTTGGTCGTAACTTACTACTATTTATGTCTAGTTTTCTGGTTAGAAATTCCGGTAAATTTTTCTGGTAAAACTCGCCGTATCCTTCTTTCAGATTGATGCTCAATTCAGTCATTCAATTACCAGTGACCATTTACCTGGCATCTTTACAAATGAGACTTTTGTAATATTGACGGAATTTCAGGTAATCCCAGAATTTAAAATCGAACCGATTTTGCTTTGCTTCACAGCGATACCAATGAGCCATATCATCCCAAATTGCTATCAAAGCCTTTCAGGCTTTTTTTCGCAGGTATATCTACTTGCTTGTTTGCTACTGTTTTTAAATTTGTAGATTTTTTTTTGTGGATTCTCTACTAAGACGCCTGCATTGAATATATTAGGATACGGCTCTCTCAGTCGGTAATCGCGTACGTTGCTAACGGAACGAAGAATAGACTTATCTACACAATTACGCAATGTATTTCCTTTGAATTTAAGACAAATGAACGACAGTACTTTTGATTTTGTTAGTAACGGCTTAGGTTTCCGCAACTAGCCATAGACTTATTAATTATTATGATATTAATTAATTTTTAATAATAATTAATACGATACGAAATAGCTGGTTCATAGCCAGCTCTTTCGCTCTTATACGAGATTTTTCGTCAGTTCAGTCAGAGCTCACCGGTTCGTGAGAAGTCGGCATATTATTATCAATTAGCTGCAAAAACGACGCGATATGTCGTATTCGCCGGGAAACACTTAGAGGTTGTACCAGTTCATCTCTTCCTCCGCTAGCGTTAAGGCTCGGGGATTACGATGAACGGCACGCAAAGCAAGAGGCCGACCCAATTCAAATCACGCGTCAGCAGAAATGGCGGCTGCAGACGTAACATTCATATAAATACCTCCGACAGCTCCATTGTATATGGGCTAGGAGTCACTGTCAACTTTGGCCTATGGGCGAAAATGATTTGATAAAATTCAATCGTCTACTATCAATCGACGGGAATTTCGGAGGAACATTTTTTTAAAAAGTCCGAAGTCCAGCTATTATCTAATTTCTTATCTTATGCAATTTTGTATAGCTTTGGAACAAGTTTATTATTGTATTAAGTTTATTTTTTACGGGTTAAGCCGTACGACGGTACCTATCGCTTGCAAGGTAATGAGTTTGCATCAAGAAGGAGGATTTAAAAAGTGAGTTCTACGGATGTTTGATTGTATGATGTTTTTGGCAAAAGGTTAAGACTGGCTTAAGGATTTTACTTCCGTAACTACTTCACGTTAACGTTAACGTTTATTCGTTCACTGCAATCGATCCGATACGCCATAGGTGCTACGCACTTACCCGAATTTCAGAGTATAAATTAACACTGGTCAGCATATGACATCCTCGAAGTTACTCGCTTCAGACAATATTCGAAAGAAGTAAGATAAGATATATCGGTTCTGAGGTTCGGTCTGTGCGGTGAAGATCATTTTCCAGTGAGGCGCTAATTTTCAACAATAACCGCTATCAATACGTCTCATTGTAGATTTATCCGTTGCTGAATCCTCACGTTGCCTGCTCGCATTACCGTCTTCCATACATGTTCGAGAGCTACGTGAATGCGCATGGATTTGACCCACGTTGCTGCTACGGAGACATCAAACTTGCTTTTACGTGTGCTCCCAAAGCGTCGCTAGCGTCTTGAAATATTCTCTCGCATCAAATAAATGCAAATTGTTCCATAAGTTACATGTTGACTGTTTTGTTTTAGTTGGTGATATCTTTTGAACTGTCGATAGCTGAAGTTAGTGTCTATCCGCTCATTACAGTCGATGCGGTATGTCATGGCACCAGTCGAACTCAAAGGAGGCAAGGAATAGGCATTTATTAGATAATTTAACAGATAAATGGGGTTTTTAATTGTGGAGTTCAGTTCGAAGCGTAAAAGTATATATATATATAATAACACACGAATTTCCCGGGCAAATTCATATCTTCAGTAACTTCTAGTAAATCTAATGATTAGATTATTAGAGTTAACTGTCTAGACACTAGAATAGATTGCCACCGGTTGGCATAGCTAGCTACAGCTCGTTCGCATCAGGTTTATTTAATTTTAAATTTGAACAAAACAAAAACAGCAAATTTAAAAACTCCGCCATGAAGTCTCTTGTAAGTTTAGGCTTTTTCGAACTTGTCTAACATGGTGAAGTGCGTTTGCAATAATTTACATTGCCACCAAAGTGCTAATTTCGAACACGGAACTGTTAGCAATCGAACATTTCGTTGCGGTTTATCCGTCGGTGAATCCCCACTTTGCTTGCTCAACAACGTAAATGCGCATGGATTTAATCTACGTTGCTGCCACGGAGACATGAAGCTGGTTTTTATGTACGCTCACGACGTGAAATACCTCTTAAGTTAAACAAATGCAAATTATGTATGCATAAGTTTCAAGTTGGTATTCTATTCGTCCGAAAAGCACTTGGAAATATTAGTAAAACGAAGTACATATTGTCGATATTCTTACATTTTCAAGGTTCTTGCGTTTAGCTCCGGCTGACGAGGAATGATTTGTTCAAAGTCGTATCGAACGCTAACGCTGATTAACGACGTAATGCGAGCTCACTAAAACGTGGCGATACGTACCAATTGACCAAATAATCCCAGCAGATATATAGGTATTGCGAATATATGGCCTGCAGAGTTAAAGCCATTACTCTTTAGCAGCAGAGATTATTGATTGCTACAAGGCCGACTTCCACAACTGTTTCTTTAGAAAAATTTTCCAGTTATATATGTACACCAATAGGGCAGAATGTAAGAAGCACTTCCCAAGTTGTTCCGATGCAGGGAACCAGAATCACTAATTCTCGTCTGCTACTTGGGACTACGACCGTATGATGACGAATCTACTAAAAAGTAGATTATGTCAAAAGAAGTGGCCCACGCAGGGATCGAACCTACGACCTTCGCGTTATTAGCACGACGCTCTAACCGACTGAGCTAGTAGGCCACGTGATGTCCTCATACTTGAACAAAGTTCCCAATTAAGCTTAACTACGCAGTATTCTGCGGCTGTACAAGTCATCCTTTTTTAAACAGACCGTTACTAATACAACGTACTGGCTCAAAAATTGTATCGTCTGTTTACTGCTACCATTTACACCATCTTTCTCACCCTCGCCGTTGCAACTATCAGCGTCATAGTTCTATTCAATTTTCGCGCGCTTTCTAAGCGCATTTATTGTCCACCAGATGGCGGTCAAAGACGCTATGAGAGAGCTCCGATGGCGTAATTAGTTAATGCTCCCACGCAGTGAACCTATCGTGTGGCGAGGGTAAAGTGGCTGGGGAGGCGCGAGAGCCGGGGGAGGAGGCCTCGGTAAGGAGGAGAGCACCGTCAACACAAAAATCGTTTGGTCGGAGCAGACTAGCAGAAGCTGCGGGCCGAAGCTGACCTGCCGAAGTGGCTGTACGACGGCAAGGGCAGCACGTTCGACACGCGCACTTCATTCACAAACTGTACGGAATGCGATCGGATGCTAGTTAAATTCTGACCTATCGTTGTACGACTCTGGAACGAAATGCAGGGCGGGATCTGATTTGTCAGAGTCGACCACAGAGGTTCCGGGATCTATCAGCGACATAGATCTTGCTTGGTGAACGGTAAAAGTCCGTCGGATTTCCATGCAGTACGCCGTTTGTGCTCGGAATCTCCATATCGATTTATATCATATCTATCAGATCATATCTACTGAATAAATTACACAGCAGGAATGACTGGTGCGTGCAAGTGAACGGTACGGTTAGCGGTGCAATGTGCATTGTGGTTACATGGTGATGTTTGTCCTAACCCAGCGTCTGAATTCCGTGTAAATATCTTATCTCGTTTCTGGCCATCAAATGGAAAAATTACTTTGTATTGTAGTTCATTAAAGAAGCACAGAAAAAAAGGCAAAATGAAGTAAAAAATTTAGCAACACAGTGTTTTTGTCTACAATAGTATTGTCCATAGGGGCATAATCAGATTGTTATTATATCAGTATTATTATCAGCATTTGCTGCCGCGCCTACTACAACTACTTCTGCAACAGCCAGTGTTCTGTTATTACATGGATGTGCTGATGTTATTATCTTTCGGATAGTGCATTGTGTGTGAATTGTGCGTGTACACAAAGATAATAATCGCTGACCGCGGATAATTATTTGCTCCATCGTGCTTCCGCGGCCGCCGGTGGCATCGCTAAGAAGTGGCACCAGAGGGAGTGTTTCAAGCCCGAGGAAAAACTGGCAGACGCTTTTGTTCCTGTGAGCAATTTACCCCGACATCGAAATTGCCACGTCTACTTCGTACTATACACACACACCCTGCGAAGTCATAACGTGAGCACCATGCGTGGATACTTCTACCAACTACCGATTTTTCTAGTTCTAATAGGTTTATCGGCTTCAGTGCGCGCCGAGGATACATTTCAAGGTGCGTAGAGATATCAAATCTCGGTTTAATTTCATTCGATGACATGAAATTTCAAATTAAAAAAGCTAGTCAGACGTCGCTGGTAGAATCAATCTCATTGGAAGCTTATTATGTCCATAGAAAGAACAACGTTTTTACCTGAACAAGAGCGAATCTAATTAATTGCACCAGGCGGCTAGCATCCAATAAAGTTTGAGGGCCTTTTTCCCTCAGGAGGAAGGGTACCAAGGGAAAGACAAGCATTGCTTAGACAAAGAGTGCATAATAGACGATAATAGCACGTCGGGCTAGACAGAGGAGTTAAATCTACAGTTGGGCCTGACACCCGTTAGGGAGGCGCTTATATTCCAAAGCTATCAAATCTATCAGAGTTGTCCAATAAATAGAGCGTAGTTGACATATAAGAGTCGACTTATGGTAATCAACCATGACCGGGACTGAGTGGGTCCATGGGCCGTCCGACGTGAGCCAGGCCAACTGTTTTTGGCCATTTCAGGCGCAGCGTCAGCGGCACATTATTTGCCCGTCTGCTGTTTTTACATTTACGGAATAAATGGCTGTCCAAGACCTGCGCTCGTGGTCTGTTCGTTATTTCGGGGTTTGTTTGATGTAGTAGAAGACACCGAAGGTACACTCATAACGATCCAAGGCAGCTAAATAGAGCTGTCAGTGTTCGTCTACTTAGTTAGAGATAGCTTTGTTTTTTTTTATTCTTTGATCGTTGTTTGTAGAACTCAAATTAACTTTGTAGAACTTAAACAGAAATCAAATGTGCAAATATTTGCTTTGCAACTATTATGTGTGTTTGTGAGGTAACATTATCGGGTACCTGATAAAAAGGGACAGTCGTCTACGATCAAAAAGTATTATTAGTCGTAAATGTGCTAATATATGTACTATATATGCACACAGGTACGAACAAAACAGAATAACCCCAAAACGTATTACAACTATTACCAAACGACACTGAATGAAAAGGCCCGTAACGGATTTAATATGGCAGCTTGTACTTCAATGGGTCGACATCACCGCAACGTTAAGATGCTTCTTTCTTCTGAAGCATTTTGAATTCGCCTAAGACAGCTTGGTCGACAATCGCCCAGAGATAATCTAACGACGCATGACTTGCTTGAGCTAGCCGTGAAGAAGAACGTGCACTCAAAATAGGTCATATTTGCAGACCTCACCGATTACCCGTCTAGATTGTCACTGATAGTTTTGATCGTAAATCACATTGGAGTAGATGACTATATTGAGTTTCATGTGCTTTTACGCGTTGTTGCAAAACATTTTAGAGTGATTATACTGCCTGTTATAATTTTGAAATACACGTATAACTGGTGAAGATGATTACTCAGTTTATTCGAGCCAGTTTTATCGTTTATATATATATATATATAGTTGAAATATTCGTCGTATCATATTGAGTTGGGGTTGGGGGTCGAAAACCGAATACGATTCGCTCAGACCTATGCAACTATATAGCTCTCAGCAATTTGAAACTTTATGATTTATTTACGTCCTTAAACCCGAATAAAACATTGATATTAACAGGAATAGATTAAGAAATAACAGTGCCAGAAAGGACTACCTTAGGGGGAATCCTTCTGCCGGCCACAAGGCACTCCGTCGCAGGTGGACAAATTACCAGCCACAGGGGACCTACTTTCCAGCTGATGTAAAGTTACATTAGCATGGATTACGTATGCAGAGCACCCTGGAGACCCGTGAAATGGGGTAGCCGCCATGGAGATAAACTATCCTAAAATGGGCACAGTTCAAGGTAAACAGCGGTTCTCTAGATAGCCGTTCTTTTTCGATTCCCTAATATAATACCGACTTCTGCAAGAATATTGTTGAAACCGTAACAGTCGTCTCATTTGAATGCTCTGCCATTGCTTCGTTCGATGTACTACTATACGACCGAATCAGCCACTATATTCTTTTCTCGTATACCAGACAACGGACAAGGATAAGAATATGTTGTGTCTGTGAAAGCTAGGGATGTCATGCGGCTTCGTCCAGTGACAATTGTTTGACGCGCCAGACGACAGTTGAATACATACAGAATCGAAATTGTTGGTCAAAAGTAGCAACAGTTAGCAGCTCAAGACCGACTTCAGGTCTGACGTTTCGCTTGCGTATATACTGGACGTGAGCTGTTTTACTATCTAATGAGTGCCAGGTACTGGATACCTGAACAGCAGAACATTAATAGAACATAGACAAAAAAGGTAAGAGGGAGCTTTGTTTTGTTTATTCATACGTATTTCTAATGTTTTTTTTTTATTAGAAATATACGCTATGTTATTGCTATCTCACATCCGGTAAATAGTTGGGCAGCGGCAGAAGAAGAATCCAAAAGCTGTAGGTGCTAGATGAGGCCTGGTTGTAAACGTATACATTTATGTGTATAGCACGACCAAAAATAGTGAAGTTCCAGTGTTTCATGGCGTGTTCGTCAAGATTTCAGGTTTAGCTGTGGGATGACAGGTTCGCGCGATCTGTGTGACAAGTCATCAATCACCGAGTATTTGAACGGAAGCATTTCTATTGCCCGAAATTGTCAATCAAACCAATGTACAATACGCTTATAAATATATACGTTAAGTTGTTTCAAGTGCACATTTGTTTTTATATAAATCCTTTATATCGTTCGAACTTTTTAAGTGATACATTATTCAACGGAGGGCAAATATAGCCAAATGGCAATGCTGTGTTCTAGCTATTTAAACTATGCACATTAGACAATATGTATGCAATTTGTATGAAAAACACTTTGGAAATCTTTCTTTTTATTACTGCCACGTTTACAGGGGCATCGCATCACGCTCGATAATATCGATTTTACGTCAGAATTTAATACCGTAGCCACCCTCAGCGTCTAAGGAACAATACTTTAATACCAGTTTTAAGTGTTGTTTTAGATAAGTACCTCTCCGTGTATATAAGTTTTTTGCATTTATAGCTGATTTATTCCGGAATCGTTAATAGGTAGTCGAACGGCAATATGCTCGTGAAGCGATTTGTCGGACTGGTCATCGTTCGATAGTCTTTTATTGAGTGAAACGGCATTGTTTCACTTATAAGCGCTATTTTCTAACAATAAACACACAACGTTAAATACATCGTCGTCTATCCTTCCGGACATAAATTATCCGTTTATTGATATGACGTGTAGTAACCGTCATTAATGTACTTTTGTTGACGTTATGATCGTACCGATCTACCATAATTCATTGTAATAGATCTACCGGGTTCTCATAATGATTCGCCGATGGTCTTCAAAATATACTAGAAGTAGATAGAATAAACGGCAGAGTCCAGACCTATCTTGTAGAGTGAGCTGAACTAGCGCCCTTTTCTGGAGTGATGTCATATCGAGTTATATCTCAAGTTATGAATGAGACGAATGACAGAACTGACTCGCCAGTATTTCTCTCTCCCTCTCCCTCTCTCTCTCTCACACACTCTCTCTCTCTTCCTCTCTCTCTCACACATACACACACACACAGACACTCTCTCTCACTCTCGCTCTCTCTCAGCAATTAATTGACTTCGTTTCACTCCGGCGTTTTATTTACAAAAACATACGTGGGTCAATTTTCGAAGTTTCAACGTATTTGAATCCTAAAGAAATTGCATCGTATGTTATGTGTGTATGATTGCATGGCGCGTTGCTGTGTTCGCCGGTACGTTCCGATTTCGTGTGGAAAGTAAGCTCCCAACAAGAGAAATGTTCTTGGGAGGAAATCAGCTGTCCAGGTATACGGATCGTATTGCTCTTCGATAGTGCTTTGTGTCCTTCGTGGCATGAGTAGTAGCAGTGAACCATTACTAGCGGCCAAATACGACGACGCCACGGGCGACACTTGCGGCAATTGCCGTTTATCGGTAGAAAGCAGACTTCTAATAGCTTCAATGAGCTCTTCGCGTGTTACGATGAACTTCTGGGGGGCCGTAAATAAACAAGATTGGATGGACATAGTGATAAAAAGAATGATGAAACACGCTTGAATGTTTAAGCAACTTCGACTGATGATGATGCCGTTAAACGACAATTCTGTCGTGGGACTAGCATTGAACACAGACACAGAGAAGAAGTGGCGGACGGCAGTTAGATTAAGCTGTTAGGGCTTCTGTATCTATTATATATTGAATAATAATTTCAGCGATATGATTTTTTCCCACAACTGGAACCGTAATTATCAGTACGTTTTTCGTTACGTCACTAGGAAATCTCTTTGTACATGTTTGCGAGATATCATCAAATCAGAATGGATAACTAGCAATTGTTCCTTTGAATTGTCGTTAAAACCTTTGTTGTATTTAGGTGAAAGGGAAAACTATTAGTAATCAAGCTTTCGTTAAATACGTTTCATTCATATTACAATGTAATATGCCAGTGCACTCGATTAGGGTATAAGTAGTTTCGCTTTCCGTGCATACGTCCCTTTTTAGCTCCACAGTAGATGGTATCACGGTTTAAACGGACAGATTCAAGAAGGGCTTAATGCTCTAAACCCAAAAGGTGTTCTTCTGATTGTTGGCATGCTTATTCGCTACGTCTCGGCGTTCTTCTAAGTCGGTCCTTCTTGTCCTATGAGTAATCGACCAGTGTCCTTATTTGGCCCATTGTCCTTCTCTCCACGAGGTGGCAACGGGTATGTGACTGGCTGACCTACGAGGATAGGGCTATGTAGCAAATGGTGCGTGAAAGCACTTTGGTTGTAGTTCCGTTGCAGTTTTGCTGGTTGGCATCGCTTCGAGGCCGTCGAAATGATGATCAGGTAGGTCAGGTAAAAGGCAATTCTGCCAGGCGGACTTGCTTGACCCGATCGTTTAATTGCAAGGGGAACGCAGTGCTGAACGAATGCCACTAAACCAGCCTCATGCTTCAGAATGTCTGCAAGTTATCTATAGCTTGCTATGATACGCAAGCGACGCGGTCAAACTAGCGGAATGGCGCCATCGGCAGCGCTGCACTGAGGGGTCGGGCG